AAATACCCTCCGACGATTAAAAAAACAACAAAAACAAAGGAAAAGGCGGAATGTCAGTCTCGTCCTGCATCCGGCTGTTTGCTTTCCTTTGTCCATCGTTCCCTCCGCTTCCTTCACGGCTGTGCGTCCCGAGTCCGGCTTGGGTACCTGAGCGGGGTCACTGTCAGGACGCGCTAGGGGCGCATCCTGGTGTCACCCTCACGTGCTCCACGAAGCAATGCCCTTGAGGAACCAAGGTCATGGGGGACATGTCTTTCTCTCACGTGGCCGCCTTCTCTCCCAACCACTGTGTGTGCCCGGCTGAGACCGGACCCCGGCTGGAGGATGAGGTTCGGATTCCCCTCCCAACTCCCAGCACCACCCGGCCCTGGGGTCCCCGCTCGCCTTCCGTCCTGGGCCCTGTGCGTCCGATGAAAGAAAGCCTCGCTGCCTCACATCTGGACGTCTTGGTGCCGGGCGGGGCCTCCCGGGGTCTGTTCCAGGAGCAGCTGGCCCCTTGCAGCTCCACGGGCGCCATCGTCCAGGCAAGGGCTGCGCTTCTCCCGGCGAATGTGACCTGGGGTGCGCCCGGTGTGACCACGGCTGTGAAATCAGGGGAGGCGTCGGGCCCAGACTCTGTGCCCTGCACACAACAGTGGTTCTGTGCTGGGCGTCCCCTCCACCCCCAGGACCTGCTGCTAATCAGACGTCATGTGTCCCCGGGCTACTGAGCCCCTTGTCTACACTCACAATGTTCCCTTGCACCGCGGAGCAGGTAACGCCCAGAAAAGCAGAGAGCGGGCACAGAAAAGCCAAGTGGCCCCATCGGCTAGCGAGGGAGTCATGTCACTCAGGAGGGGGAGGCGGCACCAAGAACAGCCGCCACTACTGCCAGGGGCAGGGCTGCTTTAAGGGGGGGAGTTAGGGCCACGCTCTGGTCACGTATAAACTGCACGAGCCTCTCCTCTGTCTGTGAAACCCAACGACAGCTTTCTTAAAGAGGGTGATAAAACATTAGTTAAAACAACCACAATATTTGACAAACAAAATGGCAACCGATGAAACTGCCAACCGCGTGGATGAGAAGCTGGGGGTTGGGTGGGAGGCAGGGAAGGGCCTGTGACTAGGGCAGCGGGAGTCAGAGCGTTCGAGTCGGTGTATGTTTTAAAGTCAGAATTAAAGGCGGTGACGGGCCTTGGAGACCTGGGTGAGCAGACGAGCTCTTCCCCACGTGGCGTGATGCGATCGATCCCGCGTGGACAGCCCGTCCCTGCGCCGGTTGCCCTGCGGCCAGTGGGTCCCCACCCAGAGCTCAGCCTCGAGGACACCGTGAGCCACTGCCTGGCGGGCGACCTGCAGCACGGCCATCTCCGTGGTCTCCTCTGGGTCCGAGGCTACAGGAGAACAGGACGAGGCCGGCGGTCCGGCCCCAGCGCGCCTGCCCGGACGCGGGATGAGGGCGCTCTCGGCGTTGCCGCCTCTAACCGGGCGCTGCTGCTGCTGCTCTTGCACAAGAGGCGCTTCCCCCAAAGGCATGTCTAGCTCTTCCCATGGAAACCACCCGCCTTCCCAGCCTGAAGGCACAGGGGTCTCCTGTGTGAGGCGAGGCCTGCGCCTCCTGGCTCGCGTGTTGTCCATTCCCGGCCTCAGTGGGAAGGGCCCGGCTGGGGGACAAGCCCTGAGCCGCAGCCACTGCCTCTCCTGTTGGGGAACGTGTGCTCGTCCCAACGCACCCACTCAGGACGCGCTGCGAGCGCAGTGCGGGCGACACTTTCCCACTGAAGGTGTTCGCTGCTTCCTGCCCAGGCTTCCCCGCAGCACCGTGTCCCATCAATTCCCACCCACCTTCCGGCTGTCACAGCCGGCCCCTCGCAGAGCCAACCCCACGTGGTCACACTGGCCCCATGTCAAGCCCACACGTGGAATGCCCGCTGCCTGGGAGCCCACACGTGACATGCCCGCTGCCTGGGAGCCCACACGTGCGTGGCTCAGTGGTTGAGCCTGACCCGTGAACCAGGAGGTCATGATTCCCAGTTGGGCACATGCCCAGGTTGCGGGTTTGATCCCAGTGTGGGGCGTGCAGGAGGCAGCCGATCAGTGATTCTCTGTCATCATTGATGTTTCTCTCTCCCTCACCCTCCTGCTCTGAAATCAATAAAAACGTATTTTTAAAAAATGGCCTTATCTAGTTTACTCGACTTCTCAAAAGGGAGAAGCACGTTTCCCAGCTTCTGAGCAAGTCATCACCCGGCTCTGCGCGGACGGGGCCCTGCTCCCACCTTCCTCAGCCCCCGCCTTGGCCTGAGGCTGCTCATGATGGCTTCCTGGGCGGATGGAGTTTCCCTGGGAAGATGCCTTTCCAGGGAGAAACCAGGAACAGGAAGACCTGGCTTTCCCAGGAATAAGACAGCGGCTGCTTACCTGGGCGCGTGGACCGTCTCGTTCTCAGGCGTCTTCCCAGGCCCCAGGGGGCCGCGCGGTCCGGGCAGGCGGGCGGTCAGTCCCCACCACCGCCGGGCAGGGCTCGCGAGCAACTCGGAACCGGCGCCTCCTCGCTGTGGACACAGGACCATCTCCCGAGAGCTGGTCCGACCCGTTTCCCTCCCCCTGCCCCACATTCACCGGCAAATCCCTTGGGAAGAAGCAGCGGGTGTCTTTACTACGGTCATTTCGGCAAGTTCAAGCTCAGGACAGTCATTAGGATGGAATTTACTGACTAGAAAGTCTTCGTTCCTCGGCTGCATTCCCATGAGCACCGTTAGCTGTCACGGGAACTTACGGATCCTTTTCATTATAGAGCGACTTTTCACACCGCCCCAAACCACGGGAGGGAGAGACAAGCGGGTGCTCACATGTAGCTCCAGCCCCAGCACAAGCGGCATGTGCACGCAGGTTCCTCAATACCTTTTTCTGAGGATTAATACAAAAATAGTTGTCATTACAGCGTGCAGTCTCGGTAAAGTGCTCGCTCACCATCACACTAAATGTTCGTCCTGCTGCACAGGTTCCCATGGCCAGGCCGCTTAGTGACTGCGTGAAAAACCTTTGAATTGGAGCTGAAAATGCAACAAAACACGTAGGAACTCAGCGTGCAGCGGCCAGGAAGCCCTGGGAAGGTGTCAGTTAGAAACCCGCCGAGGCAGGAAGACCCCAGCCCAGGCTTTTCAGTGGAAATAAGTAATAACTTCTAGGGGGTGATCTTCATTTTTTCCTTTCGCCATTTTTACCCTCCGTAAGGAGCATGTGACGATGGGATAATTATGTTGTAATACAAAGAAAAGCATGAGAGAAACTGCAGGGAAAAGCGTGAGTGGAGACCTGATGCTAAACAGCATCCTGAGAAACGCCGCAGACCACAGCGTGGAGTTAGCCCGAGCCCAGGACGCAGAGGAGGCAGTCGCAGTCCGTGGCCGTGGGGAGGGTTCCAGGACCCCGTGGGCAGGGGAGCCCCTGGGCTGCCTGGGAGGAGGCAGTGCCCTCCCGACAGAGAGCGTGTGAGAAAGGACCTTAGTGTAAAAGGAAAACCCCGAGGGTTTGGACATAAAAACGCGGTTGCCTCAGACTGACCGACCTCAGAGGGAGGCGGGGGTGGGAGGCGACTGACCAGAGAACATATGTGCATATTCACAGCCCACAGACGGACAGGGCGGTGGAGGCCTGGGTGTGTGTGTGTGTGAAGGGGGAGCCGGGGGACAGCAGCAATACTGGCCACAATAAAAGCCGCCATCGCCTCAGGGAGACCCCTCAGGCCGCGGGGAGGCCCCTGCGGGTCCTGGCCCCCTCCCGCACCCCCGCGTTCATGGAAAAGAGCTTCACAGGCGACTCGGAGGCGCTCAGATGCTTTTATTGACATTTGAACAGAGCCTCGCCAGTCCCCGGGCGCCTTCCTCGGGGGAGAGGACAGGCCTGTGTACAATCTGGGGCCGAGTTCACGCTCCGGCCGTTTACAGCAGGTGGCGCTCCACATTCGGGCACGGTGGCTGGCTTTTCTCACGCACTCCAAGGATCCGCTGTCTCTTCTGGAAAAAGCGGACAAGCCACCCACCAGGGGAGGAGCGGGGACGGGGCCTCCTGTGCCTGACATGGGGAGCAAACCCCGGCCACGGCGCAACTGGCAGCGCGGACCCGAGGACGCGGAACGCGGCGCCCACGTGGCGAGGGGCCGTCCATGTGTCACGTGGGGGGGGGGTGTCAGTGCCAGCAGCTGCTGCTGGGTTTGTCGGACGGATGCCGGGACTGCGCATTGCAGACTGAGCAGCGACGCCGGCCTTGGCGCGTGTGGCTCAGCCTCGGACCTTCCTCTCCCACGGCCAGACCTCGGCCCCATTATCCCTGCACGGCCCACGGGCTTCCCATCAGCCCGGCGGCCTGGGGGCCACGCTGACAGAGCGAAGGGGGGCTATAGGGGAAGGGCTGTCCCTGAGTGGGGGTTCGGAAGAGAGGGCAGGCGGCCTGGGGGCATTTCCGAGGCCCCTCCCCTTCCCTCCCAGCAAAGGAGGAGACCTGCTGCTGATCCAGCTTCCGGGTCCCACGTGCAAAAGGGGCCCAGGTGCTGTGGATAGTCCCGCCCACATGGTCACCATCGCCCGCAGAGAGGAGCCGAGAGCAGAGGCAGGCACTTCCTCCCGCCTCCGGTGCAGGCGTTGGGCTCTGCCCGCGGGCACACGCCTCGCTGATGTGTGATCGTCGATGGAAAGTCACCAGTCCCGCCATCCGACCGGTGCAGCAGGGGGGCCACATGGGACCGCCTGGCAGCAGGTCCGGGAGAGAGGCTGTTCCAATGGCCCCGTGACACTGGGCCGCTGGGAACCACGCTGACCGCCCCCTCCAGGGCAAACAGTTTCCGAAATGGCTCCTAATGAAGCGGCGTGCACAGCGCGTGTGGGTTCTGCCTGCGATCTACACTCCTCAGTGGGGTCGGCCCCCGTGGCTCCTCACGTGGGCGGCACCTGCTTTGTGCAGCGGGAGACTCATCCCCGCGGAAAGGGAACCCGGGGACCGTGCGGCTACTGCGCTGCCGGCCTGAGGGCTGTGGCCGCTGGCCTAGAACCGAGATAGACGCTCGGCACCTCCCACCATCGCTCCTCCCAGCGCCAGCCGGGGGTGGAGCGCGGGGGCAGGGAGTTAACCCTGAGATGCCTCCGTCCCTCCCAGCGGCCTCGAGCTCCCGAGATGCCAGGCCTCCGGGAGGCGGCTCATGCCACCTGTGCGCTGCTGTGCACGGCCCAGACTGAGACCGAGACCTCGTGGTGCTGGTTTTCCCGGCACAATCAACGCGAGGCTGGGAGCTGCCCAGACCTGCTGCTGTCATTTTGGAAAGAACTGTGTGCATGTGTGTGCCTATGTGTGCGTGCAAATGTGCGTGTGTGCATGTGTGTGTGTGTGGGGAGAAAGGGAGAGGGGCAGACGCCGCTGGACATGGAGCTCCGGCGCCGACGGTGGGCCCGCGGCAGCTACACGTCGAACCAGTGGGCGCCCATGCAGGCGCGGCTCCACTCGCAGCTGCAGTTCCAGCACCACTCCAGCTGGCACTGGGGCTGCGGGCACTTCATGTGCATGCATCCGCCTGCGGGCAAAGCACACGGCACGCTGCTCTAGGAGGCGCTGAGGGCACCGCCCCACAGCCCAGGGCTGCTTGTGCATCTGCCCAAGGGGGCGCGCAGGAGACACTGAGGGCCAGCTCCCTTTGGCAGGGGAACCGCCCCCCAGCACCCCGGGGCGGGTGCAGGAG